CTCCCATCCCCCCCCCCCTTCCCGGCGTGCCGTATCTGGCACGCCATGTAATTCACTAATAGTGTAAAAAAAAGTGATATCCTGGACATGTTCAAATAGCACTGGCTGGAATTTTTTACTTCCTCACAGACCCCGTCTTGAACCCTTCCATGTTCCTACAAATGCTTCGTTTATTTTCAAAAATGAGGATAAGCTGAATGGCGCTCTATGGGTAATGAGCTACTCTAGAAAACCTGCGTTTTTTCGAGTTTCAAGAGAAGATGGTATCACCGGTTACCGCTGCGAGTTATAGCCGTCCATTCTTCCCCTCCTCCTAATCCCCCTCCTCCAATCCGTTTTCAAGCTCATTTCAGTGATATGTGAGTGCTATTCAAGCGTTAGTGAGGCCTGGCCGATAGTTAATTTTTTTCAGAAAGCATGCTCTTCAGTGTCATCCAATGCGACAAGCTTTGTTTGACGTACTTTGTGAAGTTAAAGAGAAAACTGGTCAGTTAAGCAGTTTTTTATCTTCTACAACTAGTTTTTCTAACCTTTTTATTAAAATGCGTTTGGACTATGTTTGGAGACCCTTTGGTCTTGGTACTGGATATGTCTCGTGTATGTAGTATGTGGATTGTTTCAGCCTTACAAATACGAGCAGGAAATGATGATCAACCGGAGGATCCTCAATTGATGCGGTTGGATAATATGCTGGTGAGTTCACATTCTGCCTGATCGCCTTTTATCCCGATTCGAACATTGTTATGTAGTATTTGCCATTTTAGGTGGCCGAAGGCGTAGCAGGACCAGACAAAGGTGCGCCGCTTTCGGGGGATGCTTCCGGTGGAGATCAGGCTGACTATCGTCAAAAACTCGGCCAAATTCGTCTTGTCTATAATCAAGAGCTCCAGAAATATGAAGAGGTTTTATACTGAACTTATTACTGAGCTTGAGTTCGTTAACTTGCGCTATTATCATGAAATTTTTTAGGCATGCTCGGAATTCACTCAACACGTGATGTCCTTACTTAAAGATCAATCTCGTGTCCGACCTATTAGTCAGAAGGTGAGTGAACTGTTATTTGTTCATTTGTTTTCCCTTCTCTTCCTCTATATTTTTTTCCATTATAATTCCATTAATGCTCTTATTGCAATTACTACTTGGTAAATATTTGCTTTCTATTTTCTGTTGGTTCAGGAGATTGAACGAATGGTGTCGATAATCCAAAAGAAGTTCAGCGGCATCCAAGTCCAGCTTAAGCAGTCCACGTGCGAAGCTGTCATGATCTTGAGAAGTCGTTTTTTGGATGCAAGGTGAACATTTTTGCCTTTTGCAGTACCCTTTTCTGGTGACTTGTATGAATAATCTGTCGCAGCTCGCCTCCGTAGGGGCACTACATGGTACATACCGAAACTAGTTCACGCCACCTTGTGAATATCTGCAAATTTATGTCTCAAAAGTTGCTGACCTATACCCTTTTTCAGCTTTTACAATTTTCAGCTAAGCGTAACCTGGTAATTAACACGAAGTTACAAAAAGAACTCGCGAAAGTACAAATTGTCTCTCCCAAGTGGAACAGCGCCGTATATACATTTGATTTTGTCAGTATATTGCCAACCGTATCAAAAATTAATCCATCGTTACACAAAGAAATAAAGGCACAGCTTACAACTACCTGGCGTCCTATGCACATTGTGCGCGCCGACAACTTATTACGCTGTCCCGCTGTCGTGCTGTCTATAATGTACAATGCTAGCAACCAAAGGGTCTTATTCAGGGCATTTTCGTCGTTAGTTTCAACAGGAGGCTATCGTTCGTGGTGCACTGGAGTAATAACTTCTTTATTTCCAGGCGTAAGCGTCGTAATTTCTCAAAACAAGCAACGGAAGTTCTCAATGAATATTTCTACTCACACCTGAGCAATCCGTACCCGTCGGAGGAGGCCAAAGAGGAACTCGCTCGGCAGTGTAACATTACAGTGTCCCAGGTCGGTGTGGTGTTCCTGATGTGCATTTTTTCGGTTCCTTTG